CATTCCCTGTGGTGTGTTGGCAGAGTAACAATGGGGACAAGAGGGACAATGTAGAGAGTAACTGTTCAAATTACCCTTTGCATGTCTGGGGACGATGTCTGAGAAATTTCCTGGTCCAAACCTTCCAAGACCTATCAAAGCCCCAGAGTCTTACCCAGGACTATTGCCTAAGCCTGGAAACCCCAACAGTTCCTCTCTGTCTGCTAACCTGTCAAGCAGGCTTTTTCAGTGCAGGCCATCTGACCCTAGATTCCTTCTGAGGCTCATTGCCAGGGAAGCAAGGAAACTCTACCAGGAGACAGGAGCTTCTTCATTCTCACCCTCCCAGAATGGACACGCCACCAAAACAACTTTCCCAGATACAGAGGGCAGCACCGCGGGGGATGTGCCATACATGGCCCCACGCACTGGGGAGGCTTGATGCTGTGGGTCCCGGTGTGTGTCCAGCTGCTAGTAAATTAAGAAAGAGGCATCAGGAGTGGAAGAGTAGGGAAACAAGCTGGAGAGAAATATGAAGTGAGTGAAAAGAAGTGATAGCCTAGGGTATTTGTTGAATAGACTAGTATCCGGAAGTTTAGTGGGCTCTTAGTAAATATTTCCAGGGGATGTAAGAGAGTAGTGGGTATCTTGTTCCAAAGTACATTTAACTTTTGAGGCCGGCCCGTGGCTCACTCGGTAGAGTGCGGTGCTGATAACACCAAGGCCACGGGTTCAGATCCTATATAGGGATGGCCGGTTTGCTCACTGGCTGAGCATGGTGCTGACAAAGTACATTTAACTTTTTGTATTGGTTAGGACCATGGTGAAACCCCATAGCTGAAATAACATCACAGACACTTTGTTCCTAGTTCTTTGCAAGATACCACCTAGTTAAGGTTGTCAGATAAAACACAATTATATTTGACTTTCAGATAAACAATTTTTAGTATAAGGATGTTCTGTGAAATATTTGGGACTTCCTTATGGTAAAAAGTTATTTGTTGTTTATGTGAAAGTCAGATTTAACTGGGTATCTTATATTTTTATTTGCTAAATCTGGCAACCCTTCACCTAGTGAATGATCTAGAATCCTGAAAATTTAGAACAGAGCAGCTTTTTTTTTTTTTCTTTCCAAAAGATGACCGGCAAGGGGATCTTAACCCTTGACTTGGTGTTGTCAGCACCACACTCTCCCAAGTGAACCATGGGCCAGCCCTAGAATAGAGCAGCTTTTTATAATACATATGAAGAAGACCCTGAAATATGAAGTCTGAACTTGCTCTCTTAAATACCCTCTAAATCGACCTCATCACTCCTTCTCAGTCATCTAGGAATGGATTTATGTAATTTTTCAACTTCAGTCCTCCATTATGCATCTGAAAGGGCTTTTCTTGTGTATGACAAGAAGAAGGATTAAGATTTTTTAGAGGAACTGGAACAATTGTTTGCTTTATCAGAAGAATGAGGAACTTCAGAGTCAAAACTTGTATATGAATCTTGTTTGTTGATTCAGACTGTTAGAAGTAGGGCCGGCCCGGTGGCACACTCAGTAGAGTGCAGCGCTTGGGAGCACAGAGGCGCTCCCGCCGAGGGTTCGGATCCCATATAGAGACCGGTCCGCTCACTGGTTGAGCGCGGTGTGAGCGCGACACCGAGGGTTGCGATCCCGTTGCCGGTCGCAGTACGGGCACGACATCGAGGGTTGCGATCCCATTACCGGTCACGAAAAAAGACAAAAAGGAAAAAAAAAAAAGAAGTAACTTCAGTTTCTTCATCTGTATAATGAAAGGTTTGTAATAAAACTATCTATAAGACAGTTTTCCTCAAGCAGGACCAACAGCTGAGACCAATTTAGCATCACAGCAGCAGGAACCTGCACCAAAATGAAGGCCTGCTGAGAATCTAACCTGGGCCGGGGTGGGCTGCTGCAGCTAGGCTCCAAGTGAATATGTAATGATTTAATCAGGTATCCCAGTGAGAACAACAATCAGTGATGGTGATGCGTATTAAAGAAACAGATGGGTAACTGCTAAAGAAATTTGAGTAGATAAGAGTTCACTTGAAAAAAAAAAGGTGATCTGAAGACATGTATGCTTAGACTTCTGTTTTTGTTGTTTTCCTTTGTATTTAGTGACTTAAAATATAAAAAGAAAATACATCTAAATTATAAGAATTTTTGATGCCCATTTGTTGTCCTGGGTTTATATAGCACAAGAAACCACAAAACAAAACAAAAAAAGACCCAGGCTAAGAAAGAAACATGCCCTATGTTACATTACTTCCTCACCTTCTTTACATGCCCCCCTCAGTACAGTTTTCTTCAGCTCCTAAGTCCTTTACATAGCTATTAGCATACCCCTCCTCCTTCAAACAAAAAATAAAAACTATCATTCTATTATTCATACTTCTATTTTTCTTTACCAGAGTACATGAACAGCTTATGCAATTAACATTATACAAGGGGAGGTTGTGTTTCTATTTTAGTACTTTACTAAAATGTCATATAAGATTTACTGCGAAATAGAGAAAAAAGCCCAAAAATGAAGGAGAAGTAAATACAGATTTGCCTTTTATTGCAAAATAAAGCAGCTATACGGATGCTGACCAAAATGTAAACTACTGAGAACACAGCCAGCTGCTTAGAGAGGAGGGACTCAGACACCTGGGAGTGTAGGTGTTGGGGTAAGTTCTGATCATAACATTAACACTGCAGGTTACCCAAGTCCAGGACTCAAATGTACCACTTTGTTCCACTCCAGGGGCACAAGCCATAACTATGGCAGCCCCAACTTTAGCTCTGGTCTCAATCCTTAATACAGTCCCATGTTCTAAAGTGTATCAAGAGCTAAAGTTGCTCATGAAACTTGTCAGTCAGTATCTCTTAGTTTTTTTGCTGCCTCTCCCTTCCATAGGCCCACATTGCTTAGAATGATAATCTCTGCACTGTAGGTACCCATAATTGTCATTGTCTGACTGGAAATATCACATTGTGTTCATTTCTTGGGGAGAGACTCGTTTGACAGGTTTTTGGATGACAAGAAAGAAAGGAGCAGAGTTAAGCCTTAAAACTTGCCTGAGACACAAAAGTTCCTCCATAAACTTTTCTCATTCGTCTATTCCATACTTAAATTTTCCAAATTTAAAAGGAATGTCTTTTTAATATAAAGACAAAATTGCATGGTACTGGCACAAAAATAGGCTGGCAAAGCAATAGAGTAACAAACCAGAGTACACCTGAATGTCCTGCAGTGATGTGTCACTATATCAAATCAGGGAAGAATGGAGTAAAGACAATAGGACAATTTGCTAGCATTTTATTTTGGAACAAAATTAAGTTGGGTATCTGTCTTTATTCCTATGTTAAAATGTATTCCAGATGAAATGAAGAATTAATACTAAAATATAAGAATTATAAAACAAATGGAAGAAATGAGGAGGAATAGACAGCCTTCCTAAACATGACATAAAATTTAGGAGATTGATAAATTTGACCATATGAAAAAATTTTTAAGTCTTTATGGTAATCAAAAAGAAAGTCAATGGGGCCGGCCCGGTGGCACACTGCTACAGTGCGCCGCTTGGGAGCGTGGCGGCACTCCCGCCGAGGGTTCGGATCCCACATACAGACCAGTTCCCGCTCACTGGCTGAGCGAGGTGCAGGCGCAGCGCCGAGGGTTGCGATCCCGTTGCCGGTCCCGGTCCGGTACGGGCGCGACACTGAGGGTTGAGGGTTGCGATCCGTTGCCGGACACGAAAAAAGAAAAAAAAAAAAAAAAGAAAGAAAGTCAAAAGACAAATAGAGCAAAGTGTTGTCAGCACATTTGAAGGTTGCGATCTGTTGCCGGACACGGAAAAAGAAAAAAAAAAAAAAGAAAGAAAGTCAAAAGACAAATAGAGCAAAGTGTTGTCAGCACATTTGACAAAGGGCGAGTTTCCTAATATATAAGAAACTTACAAATCAATTAAAAAAAACAGAAACCATAAGCTGGTAGAAAAATGGGCAAAAGACATAGATTATTAGTTTTCGAAAAAATACAAATGCTTAAGAAAATTAGTTTTTCTTATTCATAATTGAGAAATGCAAATTAAAGCAATTATAAATAAATGCAGGTGACATAAATTTTGGTTAAATGGGTTGACAGATTTAAAAGATTGATAATATCTCATTTGGCTAGGGTGGGGAAAACAGTAACTCTCATACGTTGTTAGCATATACATAGTTACCCTTTGAAGGTCAGTCAGTAATACATCAAAATTTCAAACATGCTTACCCTTGGACCCAGATATAATTTCCCCTTTAGGCACACATTCAGAAATGTCCCAGGATATATGGGGATTGGGGGGTGGGGGGCAGTTCATGCAGCATCGTGAGGAATAGTGGAAATGGAAAGCAATGTAACCTAAGTCATTAGGACCTGCCCAAGTAAATTATGACCCATCACTATGATGGAATGCTATGTAGATCTTTATAAGGATGAGGGAAATGTATATTTACCAACATGAAAAAATATCCTTAATGTTAAATGAAAAATAAAAACTTGTTTCAGAGCAATATGCTAGTATAAGGGCCAGCCCGTGGCTCACTCGAGAGAGTGTGGTGCTGATAACACCAAGGCCACGGGTTTGGATCCTATATAGGGATGGCCGGTTAGCTCACTGGCTGAGTGTGGTGCTGACAACACCAAGCCAAGGGTTGAGATCCCCTTACCAGTCATCTTTTTTTTTAAAAAAAAGAACAATATGCTAGTACAATCCATTTGTGTGGAGAAAAGCATAGACATACAAGTGATTGTGTAGATATGTGAATGCACAGAAAATGTTTAGAAGACTATACACTACATGCCAAACTGGCCTTCTCTAATGGGAATGTTGGAGGCAAGGGGCTTTTATATTTTATATACTTTTTGTTAGCTTTTTTTCTAAACAAGACTGTACTTTTTATTTTAAATTAATGTGTTTTTTTTTTTCCTTTTTGTCTTTTTTCGTGACCGGCAATGGATCGCGACCCGCAGTGTCGCGCCCGGACCGGGACCGGCAACGGGATCGCAACCCTCGGTGTTGCTCCCGCACCTCGCTCAGCCAGTGAGCGGCCTTAAATTAATGTTATGAAAAATATAACCTTTTAAATTTAATTTTAAATTCCTATGTTTACATATCCACATTTTTAAAAAATGCTTTTTATTTTTTCATTATTCTGTCTCAACTTCAACAAAAAAACCTCTCTCCACCAATTTAAGCAACATTAAGCAATTTTTCTGTAGCCCAGTAATCTCAGTATTTGATAATTCATCTGACTGTGATTAGTTCAAACCTCAGCAAAGCCTCTTCAGGATCTCCTGGTGAAACTGTGCTGAGAGAGAATGGACCATCGACTGATGATCTTTCATTATTTGGGGATCTGGATCCCAGAATAGAATATTCAATAATTGGATCGATTGCTATAAAACAGTTTCACTATTAAAAAACATCCTTTGTTTAAACCACAAATACTGGAGTGAATTAGAAACACCAAATACTAGTTTTGCTTTAACTTCATCTCTGAAGTCTTCTTCTTCATAAATGATTTGCTTAGTTTTTTCAACTTAGAATGCCAGTGGATTCAGCTATCTATTGGATTTTGCTTCTAGACAAGGATCAGGACTCAAGTGATTGTGTGGAGAAAGCATCTCAAGTGACTCTGTCCCTTTCTATTGCTTGGCCTTTTTGTCCAACAAGTAGCCATATATCTTTCCTGTGAAGGTAACTGTTTCCTCTTCCTTCCTGGTCATTCTGTGTGTGTGTCTGCTCCTGCAACAGAGGCAGCAGTTGGGAACAGCCGTAGAGATGGAAATTGCCCAGATGCTGGAGGAGAATTCAAGGATCCTCAAGTTTGGATACCAGTTTACCAAGCAGGGGCCACGAACAAGGGTGGCAGCTGCCATCACAAAGAATAATGACCTGGGTAATGCACCCTGATATGTGCTGTTAGCAATTAGAAGAGTGTGATGAGCATTCATTTCTCCACTTCAGATACAACATCTCACTGACACCGTTCCACTGGCCTTTGGTGTCACTTAGTCCTTCATCAAGGGCACTTTATTACATAGTCATAGAAGTTCTTGCGGTCCTCACAGTGTTTAATTTCCATTGTAGCATTTTCCAGACAGCCTTTGATTTTTTCTTGATTTCTTTTGTATATTTGCCTCTCATTTGCTTACTTCTTACATGCAGTCACCCCCTGTTGTTGTTTCTGCACCAGAAAATGGACACAGGGACCCAGAAATTTCTAGTTTACTTATGTTTGACTTCTGACTGTGCTTTAGGTTTAAATATGGTATGTCTGATACTTTGGTACTTTACATGTGAAATAAACTAATGGAGCTACGTTATGAAGATTAAACTCAGAAGTTTTAATTTTTCCTATTGCCACTTTTTGCTGAGGATCTACGCCATTTCTTCTGTTAGGATGAGGATGGGAGGTATGTCCTGGTCAACCACAGCATAGAAGAATGGAACAGATTGGAAGACTTGGTTTGGTGACATCCTAGCCACCTGCAGCAGCATGGCAAAAGGACATTTAGGAGTAGACAGTCCATTTGGCAAGCAGTTACTCTATATAGCAGGCTCCAGTCTCCAGTCTGAAGTTCAGGGACAGAATGCAAGGCCTTGGACAGGGGAACTGGGCAAGTTGTCCATGAAGTATAGGGCTGGCTCAGAGGAAGATTCAAGATTCAGATACTGGACAAGATAGAAGCTAAGAATTTGAATGGGAAGGGGCAAACAAAGGTCAGTGTTCAGTTTACTGACCAGGCATGCTTAGCCAATACCCCGGGTCCCAGTGCAGTGTGTGGTGTCAAGAGGCTGGCCAGGCATATAGCAGTGCTTACCTGTGGGATGTAGAGGCTGAGGCCAACAGGCAGCCCAGCATAGAGAGCTTTGGGGAAGGGTGGCGGCAGCAGTCAGGAGACACCTAGGAAAAGCACATTGAGTCCATGACTGACATAGAAACCAAAAAATAAGCAAAACTAGGGTTTTGAAGTGAATAGAGAGGTGATCCCGAGCCCAAGAGCAGCAACTGTGTGCAACCACTTTGTCTAATTTCTTGCAGCCTAGGCGGGAGCAGGCTGGGCTATTTATTTTATTTATTTAGGCAGTTGGCCAATATGGAGATCTGAGCCCTTGACCTCAGTGTTACCCAAACCACTCTCTAACCAACTGAGCCAACTAGCCTGGCCTAGGCTGGGCTGTTTAAAGTGGAGAGTTGGGGCAGGATCACAGCCAGGGCACCATTTCGCCAAATCCAGGAAGGTTCAAGTAGCCCTCTTCCTAGCGACAAGGGGAGACTGCAGGTGAAAGGGGGAGAAGAGGGTTGCAGATAACTAGGAAGCAGGCAGTCTGAGCAACTTCTTTGATGTTAAGTACCAGTTTAAGGAAATCTTAATCTCTGAGTTCACTTGCAATCTGAATCACACCTTTCTTGAAAATTGATACTTAGAAATTTTTATTTAAAAGGGGTTTGGAAACTTGAACTTCTGCTTGCAGCTCCTCCTGGTCTTCAAGCCATGATCAGAATTAATAGATTGTGATTGTGTTAACCTGGGGAATTAGTTAAAGCCAGTTGGTGTTTGAGTTGCACAGAAGATGATGTTCTGTGGATAAATGACCATGAAAATATTTAGTTCACTGTTTCATGGGTCTATTCTGGACCTTCTACTTCATAGAAATGGGAAAATTCTAACACTCCAAGTTCCCAACTATCAGACATAGCTTTATTTAAATGTAAATTCCACCAGACACTGAATTATTATATCATTTCCATTTACTGCCATGGTTGAGTATTGAAATTTAAGGTAACTGTGTCTTCAAATGTGTGGGATTGCAATTACGTGTGATTAAGTTGTTTGTCTGGAATTTAAGGGATATTGCTTTAATTTGTCTTTTTAACCCTTTGTTTCTTTTTTTCTTGCCTAGTTCGTAAGAAGAGAGTTGAAGGTGACCGAAGGTAAACTTCCACAAGAGGTGAAGTTTCACCCCAGCAGCCGTTTAAAAACACACAAACAAAAACTCTCCTCCTTCCCCATTGGGACCATTTTATCAAAGGTTGTTCATTTCCGTTAACCACACAACTAATAATTTAATTGTTTTTCTTTTTTAGCACTACTTGCTTATCTTGGATTTTTTGATATATATAGTAGTTTTATTTGCTCATGGGCACCTCTGGCAACTTGACAAGTGGACTGGTGCAGATCCGAGAGAGTGACAATGATGGAAAATGATTTTAAGGTCTGGCCAGTTAGCTCAGTTGGTTGGTGTGTGGCCTTGTAACACCAAGGTCAAGGGTTCAGTTCTCCATACCTGCCAGCTGCCAAAAAAAAAAAAAACAGAAAGAGAATGATTTTAACCACTTTCGTATTGGGTTGTCTTGCTTTCTTACTTGAGCTTATTTTTTTAATCACTGAAAGGCATTTATTATATAATTTGTGTTTGTAACTGTGATTATGATAGAGGCCTATCTCTGTTTACATGCATAGCTTTGAGTTAGGCTAAATACATCAGAAGTGTTCTGCTGACCACATGCGATGTTAGTATTGCCAATCTTTCACTTGGTGAAAAAAAATGTGACCAATTTAGCACAAATTCTCCCTTAGTTCCAGAAAAATCACTAAATGTACATGCCCCACTGATTGAAGATCAGTGATGTCATCTTCATAAAGCAAGATAGCATTATGACACTTTAACACAACATTAGCAAATAAGTATAAAATATTTATTAACCCGCAAATATAGCTTCAAGCCAGACTCACTGGTAGCAAAATGAATTAGCACACCCACCTTTACTGACTATTCAGCATAAATTGGATCTTTAACATGACTCTAAATGGATAACTGTTTACAAAGCTGTTTTAAGGTTTTCCATACATGAGAGGAAATTTTTAAATTTTACCGAGGGAGGCTTTTAAAACACTACATTTCTAAATAAAACAATAATAATTGCACCTTAATCAGGGTTGTCTGGTACATATGATTGCATTAGTTTAACTTTCATGTAATAAAATCACAGAGTGAAATGTGAAATTCCGGTTTATTATACAGATTTTTGTCCACATGGCATGATCCTTTCAGACATTTGCAAACATCAGGAAAAAATGAGAATTATCAATTATCCAGATGTTTGCCATCTCAAGGACAAAGCCTGTGAAAGTATAACAAAGATGACTGCATTGTAGTGTGCATTCATCTTTTCATGTAGCAGTGCAACAGTGCAATGCTAAACTGAAGAAACAGGTGACTACACCAGCTCTGATAACTGTCAGTGCCCGAGGCTGTAATTGGTGGCACTTTGACACTGCCTGAGGCACCTCTCCCTCTCTTCTTCCTTTCTCCCCTCCCTTCCTTCCAACACATTCTCTCTCTTTTTTTCTTCTTTCTAATTGTGAGCCTCATAATGGTGACGGTCCCTTGTGCTGGTGACACCTAGAGAGATTGCTGACCCAGGCAGAAGGTGTTCCCACTCCAGAATTTAGTTAGTAACTGAGTTGCTCAGTAGGAGTAAAACAAGTTAATGGGAAAATAATTGATATATTATTCTATTTAGCTTGTAAAGCACATGGAATCTGTTTAGGATAGCCCTTATAAAAATGGATATTCTCCTGTACTATAAGTACCTGCATCTGTGTCCCTAAAGTACTTTGAAACATCTCATTTCCCTGAGTATTTTTTACATTTTTGAGGACACAATAAGCAGTTCATTCTGACATTTTTGGAGCCCTAAAAATCCTTTCATTAGTTTGCTACTATATTTCCCTATCTTTCTAAAAAACATAGTAAGTACTATTTGATGGTTTTCAGTCTGATTTTGCCTTCCTTCTTACCCATTTAGGTGTGGGGAGTTGGAGCCAACGTGTATATGCTTGCTGATTGTTAAATTTTCAAGAGTTTTGCAAACTGGCTGCCCAACACAGCCATTATTAAAAATTAAATGATATGCACTTAGAACCAAATAAATTATATTAAGGACAAAAGTAATGAACACTCAGAATTACACTTTACTATTTCTGTGCTCTTGAGATGACTTACATCTATTGTGTCTGCATAGTGGAAATACTACCTAAGGGTGCACACATCTCTTCCCAACTCCATGTTCACTAACTTCGTGTTAGTAGTTTGAAATTGGGCATTGTGGGAGTACTTAAGCCAGAAAATTAGCAGTACGTTACAAATTGGGGCTTTTTTCTTCTCTAGATTGCTGGTTGATAAATGTTCATTAGCACACCACTGCGTGAAATGTATACAGTCCTCTTTTTTTTTTTTTTTTTTTTTGTATACATATGTTTTGGTTATCATGTTGCCAAAGGGGGAGGAATGTTTCTCTTAGGTGTCTTTTCTGCTATTTCTTCGGATTTGTTACCTATTTAAGTGCTGAGTCCCTGACATGCCTCTCCATTTAAGCCTTTTTTCCCTTCTTTTCTCATTCACTTTTTCTTGCCTTCATCCCTAAGAAATCTTGGCCCCTATGGAGTGTTCCCTGCAGCCCACAGTGCTGTGGACTGGGGGCTAAAGCAGTTATTGACAAACCCTAGCAGAAAACAAACAAAAAAAAAATCAGAATTTCATCTTGGCTTTTTCTTCTGTACAAACAGTTGTTGATAGTATTAAAGCAAGATAATATGTTGTTATTAAAAATACAGCACTGTTTTTAGCTCGTAAAATAATTGGGTCACATATAATAGAGTCTGTGAAATCAAATATTTATTATTCTTTGTTTTATTATTACCCGTGTTTTTAAGGTAGCTTGAAAGGTGACACTTTCTTGAGTGTTCACATATTGAAGATTACTGTTAGGAGATAAACATACATTTTGGGGAGCCTATCAATTATTAAATTAGCTTATGACTTCATCTCACCATTTGCCCAAAGTGTGTCAAGTGTAGGCTTTTTCATGATCATGGGCATGATTAATCCCTTACTATCTATCGTGATGGGGCATAATGTATGTTAAATATTTTTATATGTGTATGTTTTGCCAAATTTGGCAATATCTGGACAACTGACTGAAGGGAGATCATTTCTTTCCATTTGCACCTCCCTTCCCCTTTTAGAGTTGCACAGGTTCGTGTTAAATGTAAAATCTCTCACCAGCACTTGCGGGCTCATATCACCAACACCACATATAGAAGATGACTTTTAGGAGATAAATTTTGGAAGTCTAGAAATCATATGATTAGTCCAGCACTACATCTCCTAAAGTGTATAATGGAAGCTCTTTCATCCTCATAAGCATGACTAAATCCCTTAATTTCATCTTTGGACGGTATAATGTAAATAAGCGTGTGCGTGTGCGCATGTGTGTGTGTATGTGTGCATGTATGTGTGTTGTCAGATATCCAACCAGGTATTTGGCTACATCTGGACAACTGACTGAAGGGAGAGGCTCTCTCCCAGCCCCACTTCCCTTACCCTTTTTAGAGTTGCTGCAGGCCCAGGTTAAGTGTGAAATTACTTCCTGGAGTTTGTAGTTTATGTCACCAACCACATTTCACAGCTGTCTGCAGGATGACTCTTAGGAAATAAATATTAAAAGCCTAGAAATCATTTAGTTGTACCAGCACTAAATCCTCCCATCTGCCTGAAGTGTATAATGTCATCCTCATCAACATTTTAAGCCCCTTCCTTCCATAGTTGTAGGACACATTGTATACAAATATTTTGTACATAAAGATCATCAAATACTGTAATGAGGTATTTAGCTACACCTGGACAACTGACCGAAGGGAGACCCTCTCTCCCGGTCCCACATCATTACCCCTCTCAGAGTTGCTGCAGGCCCAGGTTAGATAGAGAATCGCTAACCTGGAGGAGCAGCTCACCCATCTTAGAACACACAGTTCATCTTACAACAAAAGTCCATCTCCAGTTAATAAGTCAGAAATCATCCCAGTGCCTGTACTCCTCAAACCAATTTCCCTAAGGAAGACTGGCACATCAGACCAGAAGAACAGCTGCTTCTCTTCTGCACCAAAATGTGGCCCCAGGCAGGGCACCAGCATTAGGGAAACCAATGTTTTCCGAATAACTGCCATGAGAACAATCCAGACACTCAAACTTAAAACCCTTAACACCAATGTTAAGCATCAGCATGCTTTAAATTTAAGATGGCCCTTTGGAATTTACAACAGCATTGGCTGATATTTCCTTTTTCGTAGATACGATGTACTCAGCCCTCTCCTAGACATTGTGAAGGAGACAGGAAATATAAGAATTCTGGATTAACATAATTTTATATGTGTTTCTGGGTTTGGGAGGTAGACTGGGTGCCTTTTTGCAAAGTAGATACCTTCTTTAGTTCAAGTGTGTATAGCACTAGGAAAAATGGATGAGGGTGTGGAAAGTTGTGAATACTAGGTTCTCTGGTATGTTATTATACTACATAGAACTGTTTCTGGAGTCAGGTTTTAAGTCATGCTCCTGACGCTTTCTTCTTCTCTTCCACTAATAGCTATTTCCATTTTAATGAGCAGATTTTCAGGAGGAAATGTCCTACCTCTGCCCTCCACTAGTAATTTCCCTTTACCTAGCCTTATTGCTCTTCCTTTCAAATATCTCTGCTACTCACCCCACCCTCAAAGCTAAAGCATTGTGAGACACCCAAAGGAAAGGAATGGGAGTGCTTAGAAGCATCAGGCTGAGCCTGCTGGGTGAAAATTACATGATTAGGCCTCCTTGAACACACTAGCCAGAGAAAAGTACCCAGAACCTCAAGGATATATTCATTGTTTTCTTGCTCCCCAACTCTAGATCAGATTGGATTTTACTTTGGGTTCAGGAATTTGGTAAAGTGGAGGGACTGACGGAGGTGGGGAAGGAGGATGGAAATTAAAGATTTAAATTTCTTTAATGAGAGAACTGAGCTCTGGTCAGTTTACCTCTTTCGCATCTGCCTGCAACAGCAGTGATTGATCAATCAGAAGATGAATGGAGGAGGAGCTGCAAGTTTGAAATTTGTAACCTGACTCTGAGTACTGGTCTAGGGATAGTACATGTACCAGAGGTTATGCCAGTTTGGAATACATTGTAGACTTGGAGGAGGGTGAAGGAGAGGGCTGAAGACATAGACCTAGAAAATAGACATAGACCTAGACATAGACACTAACCAGACTTTTCTCTGATATCTTCCATGGTAGTCATTCTGAGCACATTGGCTCAGCTGAGTAAACCACTAACCAGACTTTTCTCTGATATCTTCCATGGTAGTCATTCTGAGCACATTGGCTCAGCTGGTTGATAAGGTGAAAAGGCATTGTACTAACGGTTTTGTAGACTGAATCCCAATCCCATCACCAACACTTAGCAGGTATATATTCTGGGCAATTCATTCAATTGCCTGCCAATTATAGACTATATAGGGGAAGAGCACTGGATTCAGAGTCAAGAAACCTGGACACTTGACTCTACATTTTCTTAGCTGGGTGACTTTGGGCAAACCACTTGGTCTCACAAGCCTAAGGTTCTTCAGCTATAAAATGAGAATATCTTCACTAACTACCTCACAGAGTTGTGGTGAGAATATAATCAGATAATTGGATAAAACACTATATAAACTGGAAAGTGTTGCACAAAAGCAGGAGATTATTTTTATTATCAATTCACTAATGTTTTCCACTGCCTCTTGAATCTGTTTTATTCTGACCGATTACATCTTCCATACATTTGGAGTATGGGGAATTGAAGCATGGGTATAAGGTGGGGGACTGGCATTATTTTACTTTCAGCATAGAAGTGAGGTAGTTGATGGTGGTAGGTGTTTATACCAGCGATGCATATAGTAGGGCATTTTCCTGGGTCATTTTGACAGTACCTTGGGAAATAGTCATAATCCTTGCAGAGGATATAAGGCCAGACACAAGGGGGAAGGAAGCAGTGACTAAGAAGTAGGGGAGGTTCTGTGGCACTACTGCCCTCCTGTCACTGCTGACATTAAGTGAGGCTAAGATTTAAGGTATGACTGGAGGCCTAGGAAAGAAGACTGTCCTTAGGACTCCAAGAATTTTTATGTCTCATAGCTGTGTAGCAAGCACTAGCTCTTTTGGTGAAGGGGAGAAAGTGCTGCCTATTGTGAGATCAGCTCTCTGGGGCAGCAGCTGCCTTGTTATCACCAGCAACCCCAGCCCTGGTCAGTATTATTTCTGCTATGAAAGGTGTTGAAGCATGGCCTCACAGGACTTTCATAAACACTTGGAGGCAGGGACTGTGTCTCATCAATTTTTGTATCTTTGGTACCATCTAGTAAGGTGTGGGGCAGCAGCTGCCTTGTTATCACCAGCAACCCCAGCCCTGGTCAGTATTATTTCTGCTATGAAAGGTGTTGAAGCATGTCCTCACAGGACTTTCATAAGCACTTGGAGGCAGGGACTGTGTCTCATCAATTTTTGTATCTTTGGTACCATCTAGTAAGGTGCTTTGTACATAGTAGGTGCTTAATAAATGTTTAAATTTAGTTGTCCTACAGCCCCACAAAGTTATGCTCCATTTGCCACCATGTGATATTTTTGGAAAACAATACTGATCTGGATGCCAGCTGTATATAACTTTGGGCAACACTCTCCATCTCTCTTGTCTTCATTTCCTCTGTAAAATGAAGTGTGGATTAGATGCTCTTTAAGTTCCCTTCCAACTCCAAAAAGTTGCAAGCCTGAGATTCTAGATCGTTTCCATTGTTTCCAAACATGGGTGAGTAATGCCTCCGCTCAACTCCATTTCTCTCCAGAAGACTGTGCAGAGGAAGAGATCTGAATAGTCCACTGACAGTTATTTGTTCCTCTTCAGCAGTTTTTACTGTCTTCAGAATAGTTCTGGATGAGCAGCCTTTTCTGAAAGGATATTTTAAAATATGGTATATAATATTTTTCTCCTCAGAACCCATGGGGAAGGAGGGGAGGAAATGCAAAGAAGGAAACTTAGCACAGTAAACACAATGTTTTTCATAGGTTTTTATTTAAAATTTGTGTGTGTTTGTGTTTCTGAGCACATGCTGACTAGGTAACAGAAAAATCAATCAGAAGTGCACTATGCAATTGAGAGAAGCTGGCCCAGGATTAAAAACTTCCTATGGATTAATGTGGATAGATAGGAATTGGCCATACGGTGAAATGAGATGGATAGGAAATGTGCTTTTTGAGGAAATTTTATTTTAGTACCAAATGTTGCCAGTGACAATCTTTAGTTAAAATTATTCAGACTTAAGATTCTTATCCCTGCCATTTGGGGTTTTTTCATTTTTTTTTAAACCTGTATACATGAAGAATGTTTATATTTTATGTCTTTATGTTAATTCTGTTTCATCTGTTCAAGGAATGTGAATCAGTGGCATATTTCATTGCATTTAAAAATGTAAAATACTTGCATGTCACCAATGTGTAATATCTTACCAGTTCAGATGCCTGTAATGTGTAACCTGATGTGCACGTGTATTGTTTTGAAGAGAATAAAGGAAATAGTACTTCAGTAAAGTCTTTTACACTTATATTGGCAACATTTATTTAACTAAGCAGTTATTGAAAAACTGCACACAGTTTCATTTTTCATTTGAAAGGTTTTGATCAAAGCTAGACAGTTATACTAGGGAATTAAAGACTGATATGCCCTTTAAATGTGAAGTTGAATATTGTGTGGAAAGTAAATGTGTGATAAAGCAAAATGTATGGATTGTGAAGTACTTTTGCCCTGATAATTAATAAGGACCCCAGTTGGCCCGAATAGTTGCAATTATTTGACCCTTTGGAATTAGCCAGCCAGATCTAATGCTAAGGTAAATGTAAGCTGTTTTAATTAATCAAGATCTTTCTGCTTTCAAAGATATAATTTCATTTGTGTTCATTTGTGTCTGGAATGATATTTTCAAATGAAAATGTTAAGAACATTGGGAATTAATAAACTTTCCTTTCAAAGAGAAAGTAAAGACTGATTTTTTCTGGCTTTATTTATTTATTTAGGTAGCTGGCCAGTATGGGGGTCTGAACCCTTGACCTTAGTATTATAACACCATACTCTAACCAACTGAGCTAACCAGCCAGCCTATCTGGCTAATTTTTAGACTCTCTCTTTAAAATAAATGGTTGGCACCATGCTCTTATATTAAATGAGCACATTTGCAGAAGAACTATAAAGTGCTCTTACTATGAAGAAGATGAGAAGTAGGCAACCACAAATAGCCAGAGGGAGAAATGAAAACTTGTTATCAAAACAAAAATGCATACGTTTGGCTAAACAGTTAAAATTTGTTAGAAGAAATGGGAGTTATAGATAACTCAAATGGGTTAACCATTTTATTTTGAATTTTTAATATCGACTTTGGATTTACTCTTTTTTTAAGCTATTCTGGGAATTTGTCACATTAAACATAAAAATAATAGTTACATTGTAAAGGTTTGACCCTGGAAAAACAGGAAAAACTACTCTTCCTGCCCTCCTGCTGAACTCTGTCCCAATTCTTGCACCTTTTGAATTTCATCATTTAGGCTGACAAACAGTTCCAACTAAGAAGCATAATGGGCCTATGTCTTTTATATTTGCTGTTTTACACCTTCTCTTGGACAGGAAGTTATAGTAATTATTTTGTTTAAAAGAGTCTCCCTTTCAGTCTGTTGGGTTGCAGTGAATAGAGGTTACAAGTGTGCACTCTGGTGTCACATTTGTGTGGTTCAAGTCACACTTCCATTAGTTGTGTGAATTTGTGCAAATTACCTAGCCTCAGTTTCTTCATCTGTGAAATAGGAACAATGATAGCACTGCTTCTCAGTAGCACTATTGTGAAGACTAATGTGTAAAACTCTTAGAACGGTGCCTGGCATGTAGAAGGCACCCTGGTATTACTATCCTAAATTCTAACCTAAATAAATATCCATTAATGCCAACAAAGTTCTCCATTTTATGCTAACAGTGTCAACAATTTAAACAAGACTGAATGAATGTTACTCATTTTTAAATTTCTACTGTCCATTTTCTCTGGCAGACAGGCCCTCCCCCGTCACTCCGAGAAATGAATACAAACAAGATAGAGCTGACTCAGGACTTTACTCCTGTCCTACCTTCTCATTTAGCTCAGCTCCTCATGATTTCTCTGATGTTTTGACTTGTTTGTGCTTGCTCTGATCTCTCAGTACCCTCTTTTGGATTTAGCAGTTTGACTTCTGGAGTGAATCCTTGACTTTCAGGTCTGTTTTGTGTTAGACTTGACTCTGTTATGGACCACTCTCTCTCAGTTTGATAATCCAGTCTTTTTCTGTGGCTATAAGAAGTAGTGTTCCACACCCCCTCTGCCCTGGTTACCAACCCACTGCCCACTCCCATCAGTCAGGAAACACGATCAGATGCCCACAGCCTCTGGCAAGTGTCCCTAAACATCCCAGGACCTCAGTAGGAACTAGATGTATGTGTGCTTACATGAGGTGGGACTATGCTTTGGGCCCAATCAACATGAGAGAGGATGTAGGAAAATTAAACAGGTGCATGACTCAAAAAGTGTGGTGGTGGGGAGGTTCGGAATCTACAAATTGTAGACCACTGGCAATCCTAAGCAAAATTTTAGAAAAGCATGTTATCCATGTTAGTGGTTTATAAGCAGTGATTTCTAAAAGCCAGCACAAATTCACTTAGAATAAATGATAGGAAATTGACAGTAAAATCAAAAGAACACACTGTATTTGGATTTCAGCAAGATATTTGACAGTTTCCTGACACGCTTGAGAAATGGGCTGCGTAACACTGCAGCTAAATAGCTAAATGACTAGTTTGAACAGAATCTTTTTTCACTCCTGATTGTAAGTAAATGCTGACAAATGGAATACTTTCAACCAGAAGGGCTTAGTAGCCCCCCTAGGGCTCTTTCCTCGACACCTCTTGACTAGCGTCTATCAGTTATTTGTATGTGATACTGATAGAATACTGACTGAGTCTTCAGCTGATGAGCTCTGGGAGGGACAAAGAATACTTTGACAGGTTCAAAAATACCTGGATAGGCTGAAATATAACTCTATCTAATCAAATAAATTTCTACAGAAGTAATAGTACTGATTTCCACTTCTAATCTGAAAAATCAACTAAAAAAGATAGGATGGGGAAAATATTACTTAACTGCCATCTGTGAGGATAAAGACTTTTGTGTTTTAGCTGATGGAGAATTTAACGTGAATAGGAAATGCAATGTGCCTGCCTAAAAGCTAACTTTATCTTAGGAGACAGTAGACAAAGAGTCTTGTTATTTGGCCCAAAATCTGCTACATGGCCTTGGCTTTGGGCCTCAGATTTTGGAGGCCCTACTTCAGTATTACTTCCGTTATCCTTGAACTTTGGCATGGTTGGTGTTTATGTTTTCATAAAGGTTTTCCATATATCTTATCAGTTAACAGTGTCACTGATATGAACAAAGATTTGTTATTATTATATGATTATTCATTTTCATATACAGGCAGGTATTCTAGATGTAACCTGAGTGAAGGCTAACTTATTTATTTGTTGAAATTCTATCAAAGTATAAATGTATATAATTATTGGATGAGTAAGATGTTATAATAATTGCTGGTTGTGAAAGCTTTCATGTTCAAAATCAATGAAAAACAACTATTAAGAACTTTCAAGTAGATAAACAGGGAAATAGGTTGACAGTTATTGCAAATATAAAGAGGGAATGCATTAACTGGATAGATTAGGAATAGTATATCCTTTTTGAAGCAATAAATGTTTATATAAATCTAAATAATGCAAGCAAGGATAAGTAGAGATTATATCATACCATAACTCAAGTCTCCCTAGAAATTTTTGGTGTATCTAGTATTTATTAACTTTAAAACCCACGTTTAATTCTTATTTAATTCCATTTAGGTCATGGGTCATGTTCATCCACTCACCTCGGCTGTGATTTGGCTCTCTAATCACAGTGACCGTAGGAGAGTCTAACAGCTAACAGCACTGGGAAATTGTTGTTCCTATACTAAAAGTTAAACTTTACCATTTTATCACTAACATTGTTAATAATATTAAAATAATAATTAAAATTTTGAGGTAACATTTTAGGTTTATTTGTGTATTGCAGAACTTTATTCTTTAATAATGATGTTTGTCATCAATCTTGGCTTCATCTGAAGAGTGATTTTAATTCTCAGCCCTTTGGCATTTGGCTGGAATGTTCATTCAGTGTACTTCTAGTGGAGGCATAATGGGGTATGAAAATATGGAGAAAGGCAAAATTAATTCCAGCTGATGGCATTAGAGAAGTCCGAGTGAGAACAGGCATTTGAGATAGACCATGAAACACGAGGAGGCTTCTAACAGGCAGAGATGAGGTGATAGGGAAGGGCATTTCAGGCCAGAGTTTGCTTGAATCCTTTCTATAAAACTGTATGCACCCAACCATAGTGTTTGTCTTCTCTGATTTGCACTTCCCACTGCTTTAACCACCTCCAAGCTCCCAGAGTGAAATCCTTACCTTTTAGTTTCAAGTTTATGTCTTTAGCTTAAGTTTTCTCAGCTGTCCTGTAAAACATGTGTTTGTAGAAACAAACAAACAAAAAAGCTTCAGCATACCAAAGAAACTATTTCCTAAAGAACCCTTTGATAACAAGAAAATTGCTTCGGGGGGTTAATTTGCATGTGATGATTCAGTGTGACACATGCTTTATGAGTTACTCTGCCCAGAAGTTTAAAGATAACACTAATTAGGGCTGTACTACATTAAGTAGAGTTGGAGTGTCATTTTATCAATCACTTTCACTGTAACCAAACCCTGATAACTAACAGGAACCATACTGTGTCCCTTACCCAAATACTTTACCTAAAGGTCTCAGATTTGTCCTTTTTAGAATGTTGAACTTCAATTACTTGAAGTGAGATTAAATGCAGGCGGGAAGGGGTTGCCAAACCACTTCTGTTTCGGAGCTTCACCTTTCTCTGATTAGGCACTGTAATAGTCAGCTTTTGCTAAGGAAATGTAGAGTAACACACAAACCTAAATCTCAGTTTACTTCTTGCTCATGTTACATTATGTTAGCCCCTGTGTTTGGCTGAAGCTGTGGCCCGTATGACTTATTCTAGGATCCAGGCAGAAAGACCAGCCTCTGTTTAGAACATGCCTTTCTCTTGGTGGAGGGAAAGAGCAAGCACATTAGTGTGAAACAGCAATGACTCTTAAAGCTTCCACTCAGAACTGTTGTGGGCCGGCCCGTGGCTCACTCGGGAGAGTGTGGTGCTGATACCAAGGCCACGGGTTCGGATCCCTATAAAGGGATGGCCGGTTAGCTTACTTGGGAGAGTGCGGTGCTGACAACACCAAGAGAAGGGTTAAGATCTCCTTACCGGTCATCTATCTTTAAAAAAAAAATAAAAAGGGCCGGCCTGGTGGCGCACTGCTACAGTGCACCGCTTGAGAGTGTGGCGGCGCTCCCGCCGAGGGTTCGGATCCCACATACAGACCGGTTCCCGCTCACTGGCTGAGCGAGGTGCGAGTGCAACACCGAGGGTTGCGATCCCATTGCCGGTCCCAGTCCGGTGCAGGCGCAACACTGAGGGTTGCGATCCGTTGCCGGACACGAAAAAAGACAAAAAGGAAAAAATAAATAAATAAATAAATAAATAAAAAATAAAAAGAACCGTGGTGTTGTCACCTCCACTCACATGTCATTGACCAAAACAAGATTCATGTTTCTAAGCTTCGTGATTACAATATGACATTTGTTTGACGAATGAAGGAAAAACCTGTCACTGCATCATAGCCAAGACTGAAAATGCCTGAAGGGTGGCACTGCAAGTCACACAGCAGTGGGTAGGGCTATCTGTTCCTCTAGAGGAGAGCAAATATTTGGCAACGTTTCAATCTACCACAGGCATTTAATGGACTTGCCTTTTCACTTATTTATGTAGATGTAACTTTCAGTTTTTCCTTTTTTCCCAATTCCAGAAT